TTATTATTATTATCATCATCATCATCATCATCATCATCATCATCATCATCATCATCATCATCATTAAAATAAAGAAATCACTTTTTAAAGGAAACAAACTCCAGTGTTGCATCTGATAACAGGCTTACCCAAAATGTTTTTGCCCTCACCAAGTTTAGAACCTTGGACCTCGGCTTTCTGTTTCCTAAGGAAGGACAGGGGTGGTTGGGGGGAGTTGATTAAAGTTACCTTTCCAACAAATGGAACCAAGTGATGCTCGCACATTGAGAACATGTCGATGTCCTTCACAATCACCATCTCATCGTGGTCTTCATCAAATATGGCGTCATTTAGTACATCTGAAATTAAAGGAGCCACGTAAGTAGAAGTTGTGATTAAAAAACCCCACCAATAAATAATTATATTTTATCTTTAACTCCTCGGTCATGCTCCCAAATTATATTGCTAACTTATCTTTAGAAGCTACAGATTGTAACTTCATCCAAAAACCAAAAACGCGTGCGCACGCACGCACGCACGCACGCACACACACCACACAAAACACTTCGGAGTCTATTGGTCCTCATCTATGAAGCCCTAAAAATTAACTGCATTGTGGTTCAATATGATTGCTGACTAAATTATTTTATAGTATTTATCTTTTAAATATACATCAAATGAACAAATTAAACAAAAATTGGGTATGTAACCATGGCAAAAAGTATCTGCTTCAGTTTCGCACAGGTAAACTCATGATAATAGCCGGTCTCACATGGCTATTGTTGAAGACAAACAAACAAAAAAGACTGAAAAGTAATTTTGCAAATCAGATAACATCATTTCCTATGATCTAGAAGTTTGCTAATCTTGGTGATCTGCCCCAAAGCCACAAAATAAAGATGAGAAGTTGGGGTGGGTGGGTGGAGAGATGCTATAAATATGTGGTTTGACCTCACTTTGCACTTTTTTACATAGTTCGTTAGCTACCTTTGAAAGAGCCAATCTGATTAAGAACAAAGGGGTCGGGGGCACCAAAGACCTGTCTGCCAGTGACTAAGCCGGCAACATAAAAATTCAACAGCTACGCCCATCGCCTTTTCTTTTATAGCTTCCTCCGATTTGCGCACACAGACTGTTTCCCCCTCTCACCAACTCGGGCATTTATACCTATGAACTGTCATTTGGGCCTGATCGCAATATGCCATCACCGTGGGTTTTAATTTCCTGTGTGCTGCCAGACTGACGCAGGTAACCCTGGCGACCGGGAGGGGTGGCAGCCTGCTGGTTTGTTGTGTGCTGTCCATCACCTTCTGAGAAGGCTGGGGTGGAAGGTGAGCAGAGCAGGGAGACGGGAACGTTCCAGCAAACTAGGCTCAGGAGAGCGGCCATGAGTTGGGGGTTGGACTCAATGGCCTGATAAGTAAAGGTAAAGGTTCCCCTTGACCTTTAGTCCAGTCGTGTCCGACTCTAGGGCCCGGTGCTCATCCCCGTTTGCAAGCCTTAGAGCCAGCGTTTTGTCCGAAGACAATCTTCCGTGGTCACGTGGCCAGCACGACTAGACACGGAATGCTGTTACTTTCCCACCGAGGTGGTACCTATTTATCTACTCACATTTTTACATGCTTTGAAACTGCTAGGTTGGCAGGAGCTGGGACAAGCGATGGGAGCTCACTCCGTCCCATGCATTCGATCTTATGACGGCTGGTCTTCTGACCTTGCAGCACAGAGGCTTCTG